AATGATTTCTAAAACATATATATTCCCACAAAGTACCTTTATAGCTGTTTAATAAATGTAAAGCAGGGCCGGTTAAGGAATCCAGGACAGATAGGAAAGTGGAGACTTATACAAGCACATTCTTAAAATACTGTACTTCATTGTTTCAGCAGAAAATCTAAATCCTTCACTTAGATTAATATTTTCACATGATAGAAGTTTTATTTTAAAAAGTTAGGCTTTTAAGAACTGTTAAACTATCCTGATTTTGCCACAACACATATTTTCAGAGAGTTTTATTTCTTAATTAATTTCCCCATGCCTGTCAACTTCCACTGCGGCCTTTTACATCTTTCACAAAGATTGGGTTGGAGTTTGGAGCCCATAATTCTTAAGCCATTTGTTGACACATGATAAGAGTTTCTGTCCAACACATCTGAAGGGCACTAAATTGGAGATGGGGGATTTAACACACCCTTGTAATTGTTTATCAAACACAACATAGCAATGTCTGCTTCTGAGGGAAGTTGGTGGGATTTACATGCAGGAAATCCAAAAAGAGCAGTCTCCTGTTTTTGGCAGAGACAAATCCACTGTTGCTTTTGGTTAAAGATCAGAATTTTGATTGGATACAAATGCACTTGGCAGAGAATATTAAGCCAAAACACTAAAAGAGATTTGGAAGATTTGGAAGATAGAACTTGCTTTAGAAGATTTGGTTTGGGGATAAATTCCTATCAACAGCATGTTCTCAATTACTTAAGGCTAACTTTAATAGACATATTTCTCTCATTCCAGAGATCTGTCTACGAAGGAATGAATTTTTGATTCAGGGATTCAAAACTTATCCTTATTAAATCCTAACAGGGTCTCCAGAGACTTTCTTTGGATTTTTTTCTATGGCAGCCTGCCCTGCAGTAGTATAAAGTTGAAAATTTCTTTTAAGTGGTTTGCTATGTCAGTTATACTAGTCACTTCATTGCATTTGTGTAAATTATCAGTTTCTACAATTAGCTTGTACCCTAGTCAGGTGGATATCTCTTCCTTTAAACAGTAATATACATATTTCTGAATTTCATCATGTTTTAAAAACATTATTTAAAAACAGAATTATTATTTAAAAGCAGAATTCTAGAAAGTGTTTTGGGTGGGACATATTGGCATCTATTTGATTGATTCTGTAATTGGTTATATGCTAACTGTTGACTGCTTACCTCTGTTTCATCCCTATATTATTACTGTTCCATTGTGCTCTCATGATTTTTTTCTTTGTTTAGTATTCAGTGGACTTTTTATTGAAAATACACAAACACACACACACACACACACACACACACACATATCTTAAGTTTTCGCGGGTACTTACATGTATGGTATTCGGCTTTGTTTGGGTATTTTCTCAGGTCATTATAGTTGTGCTTTTAAAGTTGTAGCAACGTTTCGGCAGAATCTCATCTGCCATCATCAGGCTTCTGTTTTGTGTTCGTCTGTGATTCAGACTTTTACAGTTGTTTCAGTTTTAAATTTGGGTTTAGCCTACTGCTGTGCCAGAGTGGTTTTTTCCCACCACCACCCAGCACAGATAAACTCTGTGGCCAAAACACTAATTGCTAGAACCAAATGCCTGGCAGACAGGACACACATAAAGACTGAACTATGCACCCTGACTAAAGTACTGACAGCCAACAGCTTCCACAAAAGCAAAATCACCGGCTTGATCCACAAAAACACACTGAGACATAATGGAGACCTAGAAGATGAACAGACCTATGGAACAGCTGTCCTGCCCTACATAAGAGGTACTACAGACAAAATCAGTAAGATATTACACAGGCATCACATCAAGTCTGCCTTCAAAACAGACGGAAAAATAGCAGCCATCCTTAGAAACCCCAAAGATAAAATTGACCTGGAAAACCAAGGCGTATACGAAGTCCCCTGTGCATCATGCCCGACCACATACGTTGGACAGACCAATAGAAGAATAAGTACCCGCCTGGATGAACACAAAAATGCAGTAAAAAAGCTGGAACACACTTCCTCACTAGTCCAACACATGAAAGCCACAGGTCATAGCATCAACTTCAATGGCACCAAAACCCTAGCCACTATAGAAAACCCCAGCCACAGAATTATCAGAGAAGCCATAAAGATTGAAAAAAGACCTGAAAGCATGAATAGAAGAGATGATTCCATCAGACTGTCAATTATTTGGAAGCCTGCACTCACAAACAAAAAAATCTCCACACCACTAGCCAGGCAAACACCTGGGCACAAACAGATTCCCCCTGATATCTCCAGCTCAAACACATCCCAACCAGGCACCCAGACGAAACCTAGCTTCCTAACAAATGATAGCCATCCATTTACTCGGAGCCAAGCTGCACTAAAAGCCTCCAATACAGGAACACAATGTTGCCAGCCAATCCAGACACAAAAAATGTCATAAAACAGACAGAAGATTAGAAATACCAATCAAGCAGAACACAGCAAACTCCAAGACCAATAAACACAGACCAAGACTCCCAACCAATCAGGATGAAGAAAAAAACCACTCTGGCACAGCAGTAGGCTAGCCCCAAATTTAAAACTGAAACAACTGTAAAAGTTTGACTCACAGACGAACACAATACAGAAGCCTGATGATGGCAAATGAGATTCTGCCGAAACGTTGCTACAACTTTAAAAGCACAACTATAATGACGTGGGAA